TCCCTCGGCTCCTGCCATCGGGCCACGATGGAGGCAGGGAAACAGCTAAGGCATCCTGCGTGGCAGAGGGAAAAGCACTTTTTAGAAATTATCCGCGCCGTTTAAGCCATGTGCGGCCCCTGAAGCACCCGAGGCTGGCTGGTGGCCACGGCACTTTGGGGCAGTGGTCCCTCTTGGACTCCCAACGAAGAGTGCCATCTAGTGGATTGGCAACAGGTGGGGTCCCTGGTGGGTCCCGGTGGCAGCAGGGCTGTCGGCGGTGGGGCGGCCGAGCTGTGAGCCAGCCGGGAGGTCCCAGCCCCGGGACGGGTTGGGATGAATTAACCGCTTAGGGGTGGACGGCCCCGTGGCCGACAGCCAGCTCTGTTTTGCCTACACCACCAACCTCCCCTTCGGAGGTTTCCAGGGGGGAAAAATAATTCTAGCAGCCCCTGCCTGCTGAGGGTCTGGTATGTATTAGACACAGGGCTGGGGGGCTCGAGCGCGTTATCGCTAATGCGCTCGATGACCCCAGGAGAGACCCCGAACCTGTGCCAATTTCCATGCGAAATGAAACTTGCTGAGGCTGGGTACTCACTAGGGTGAGGGTAGATGCTCAGACACCTGGATCTGCAGCTGCACTTGCTCCTGTGAGCCCAGTGCCCCCCGAGAGTGCAGGACAGACTCTGGACACTGGTTTGGACAAACCGGCTGTAAAAGAAATTTATGAGTCGATCGAGGATATTTGAAAGCTGAATAAATGTTGGACTGACATTAAGGAAATGCTGTTAATTTTTTAACTGTGAGAATGGCATGTGGTTATGTTTTTAGAGCAGAGAAGATATCATTTTCAGAGATACACACTGAAAAGAGCTCAGAGACAGCGACGGGAACTGGCTTCGAAACAGTCGGGGTGGGGTGGGCGGCAGGACTGTGGGAGGGTCAGATGGAACAGGGCGGTGACCCCGACCGCAGCTGGGGGACTGCGATGGGAAACTGCAACTTGGGATGAAAATGCAAACTGTTTCTCTACTGTTTAAAATGTCTCCGAAGTAAAGGGTTTGAAAATCAACAAGTAAAAGTAGGTGCAGGGCATGAAGGCAGTCAGAGAGGGGCCAGGGGTCTCGGCTGAATCTCAAGGTGGGAAAGAGGAGCTGATGCACAGGGGACAAATGTCCCAGGGTGCAGAGGGGACAAGAGGGGGTCCAGGACCTGGGGAGCAAACCATTCCAAGCCAGGTGGGCTCCTTCAGGCCGTCCTCCTTACTCAGACCCTCCCAGCCCCTGTGAACCCTCAGGCCCTCCCTGTCCACCTCCCCAGACAACCTTTCTCCATCCCAGGGCCTCGTGCACCCCCAGGTCTCTACCTCTCTCAGACCCTCCCCAGGTACCCCACAAAACTTCCAGCGACGCTCCCCCAGCGCCTCTTGCCCCCTCCCTGGCACGTGAACCTTCTCACCGGCTCTAAAAGGGCCTGAGAGGCCCTCCCTCCCCAGGACACAGCGGGCCACCGGGCAAGTCCTTCCCTGAAACCAGCACAGCTGGGCTGGGGAGGATTCGGCGGCGGCATAACTTTCAAAAGCTTTTTCTTTTTTTTTTTTCTTTTTTTGCTTTTTTGCGGGGAAAAGAGTTGGGGATTTTGCCCTAAAATGATGGGCCAAGCTGCCCTGGTGTCCTCAGGCCCTCTCTCCCCAGGCCCTCCCTGGCCCGTCGGTGCACCTCCCCAGGACAACTTTCTCCATCCCAGGGCCTCCTGCACCCCCAGGTCTCTCCACCTCTGAGCCTCCCTCTCTCCTACCAGTCAAATCACAGCAAAATGTCTCACACTGGACCCCGGGGCCACGGCAGTCTCCCCTGATCCCCGGGACCACCACGCTCTCCACCTCCCCCTCTCTCTGGCCCTTCCGCAGCTGCTGAACCCTCTGCACCCTTGGTTTCCTGGACTCCTCCCTCCACCACCCCTCATTTCCCACTTTGGAGAACCGGCCCGGACAGCTCCTCGGACCCTCCCGCAGCCTGCTGCATTGCAGTGCAGCCCTGCAGGGAGGGGCGCAGCCCGAGGCCACCCCTCCAGCGGCCCCAGCCCAGGGCAGGTTGGCCCCCCTCAAGCTTCTGACGCAGTTAAAAGCGTCAGCATAAAAGTAAAAACAAAACGCCAGTCCCTACTGACTGTCTCCCCCCTCCTCAATTTCCGGGCTTAAAATGTGTCCCAGGCAGCCCCCTTGTGGCACTTGGGGGCGCCACAGACTCTCGGCTGGCGTCGGGAGAGTTCAGACCGTCTGCTTCTACTGCATCGTGAGTTGGCACAAATAAATCTTAAACGACCCAGGACTGCCTGAGGCAGCAGCCCCTCCCCTCCCTCCTCTGCCCGCAGCCCCCCTTCTTCCCCGCTCCTGCTCCCCTCCCTCCCGCAGCACCGAAGCCCTCCTGTTGAACACTGCAGTTCTGACAGGCAGACAGGTGTCTGCAGACCGTAGCAGTGGTGGGGGGCTGGAGAGAAGGTTGGGAGCACAGGGGCTCTGCTTGCAATGATGTAGTTTCCATCTCTCTCCCTCCCAGGTAGGGAAACTGAGGTGCAGAGGCTCAGGGTGGCTGTCTGCGTCAGAGAAGGGGCTGGGGCACCTCTCTCCACGACTGGATTCTAGTGGGGGGCACTTCCCTGCGGTGAGGGGCTGCCCTGCAGATGGTCCCCCCTTGCCTGAGTCAGCCAGCCAGCCCTCCGCCCCTCCCCTTCACCAGGCAGCTCTAGGGGGGCCTCCCCGGATGTGCTCTGTCCTCTCTCACTCACTGTCCACACAAACAAGCTGCAACTCCCCCCCCCGCCCCCGCCCATCTCCATCTGCAGTCTACTTAGAGGTGGGCAGGGCCCTCCCCACGTCAGGTTAATAATGCCATTTTCATAAGCCTCTGCCCATAGGTGCTACCACCTAATTCTGAATCTGCCCTTCAAACGGATTGGGCCACAGAGGAGCTGGGATCTCAAGCACCGCTGGGAGGTGCTTATAACTAATCAATCCATCCCTGCCCACCCACGTCCCCCCAGCACTCAGCACAGCCTCGCTGAGCTGTCTTCAGCTGCAGGGTGTGGTGGGAGCCTCAGACCGAGTAGGGTTCCATCCCAGCTTGGCCTCACACCGGCTGAGAGACAGTGAGTACGGGACCTCACCTTTCCCTGCCTCGGTTTCCTCATCAACCCGGTGGGGATTCTGAGGCCAGTGCTCAAGAGTTTCTGCCGGGGAGAGTCCTACGCAGCCAGCCCAGCTCAGAGCTTGGCCCCTACATCGGCTCCATAAATCTCAACTGCCATCACCCCCCCCC